TTTCAAGAGGCCAAGGGATATCATTGCTAATGCCAGATGGATTCTGGCTAAAAGTATACCAGAAGAACTTCTATTTGTGCTTTATTGACTGTTCAAAGGCATTTGACTGGGTAGCATGACAAACTATAGCTAACATTAAAAAGAATGAAAATCCCAGGACACTTAATTGTGCTCATGCAAAACCTACACCTAGACCAAGAAGCCATTGTCTGAACAGAGCAAAGGAACACTGTGTTATTTAAAATCAGGAACAGTGTATGTGTTGGTTTTATCCCTTTACCTACTCAATCTGTATGCTGAGAAAATAATTTGAGAGCCTAAACTGTAAAGAAGAATGTGACATAAGGATTGGAGGAAGATGCATCAATAACCTACGCTATGCAAATAACACAATTTTGCTTGCAGAAAATTAAAAAGACTTAAAGCACTAACTGAAGGAGATCAAAAGCTACAGCCTTCAATATGGATTACATCTCAACAAGATGAAACCAAAACCTCACCACTAAATAGGATAAACTAGTCACACCCTGATAAATGGAGAAAAGACTGGTGTTGTAAACAACTTTGTTTTATTTGGGTCTGCAATCAACATTTTTGGTAGCAATAGCCAAGAAATCAAAAGATGCATTGCATGGTGAAAATCTGCTGTCAAATACCTCTCCAAAGTTCTGAAGTGCAAAGATGTCAATTTAAAGACTATAGTGTGCCTCATCCTAGCCTTAATATTTTCAGTTGTTTCCCATCCATCTGAAAGTTGGACAATTAAGAAAGAACACCAAAGAATTGATGCCTTTGAATTGTGGTGTTGACAAAAAGGGGACTTACCATATACTTCCCAAAGAATAAATAACTCTGTCTTAAAGAAAGTATAACCAGAGCACTCCTTAGAGGCAACGATAGTGAAATTTCATCTCACATACTTTGGTCATATTTTCAGGATGTAACCAGTACTGAGAGAGAAACAGCATGCTGGAAAAGGTAGAGAAATGGCCAAAAAAAGAGAGGAAGACCCTCAGTTAGATGAATTGATGCCAGGACTACCACAAAGGACATAAGCATGACAGAAATGGTGAAAATAGATCTGTTGTTCGTAGGGTTGCTGTGCCAGTAAGTCGGCTGGTAATAGACTCAACAAGAACAACAACATGGTAAAACCAGGCATCTTCATGTCCCTGTGGGCTAAGTTTAAACACTGAAATCTAGTAGCCATTACATGAGGAAATGATTAAATAGTCTGGGCTTTAAAGATTGCAGGCTCAGAAAGCTTATGGAGAAAATATGCCTCTTGGAATTGACTCAGTAGCAGTTGGATTTGGGTGGTAACAGCAATACAAATAATTCATTTCTCTGTACCAGAATATGAAAGTAAGGGGAGGAAATAGATCTCAAATGCTGGTACTTCATTATATGACTGAGAAACCGATCATATAATACAGCTATTTTGGGCATTAACATATACTTAGAGCCTTTAAAATCTTAAAATTTATACGTCACAAGGTTGCATTTTAGACGTTTGATGAATATATA